AAGGTACCACAGCCATCCTCAGCAGCAGTGAGGTCCCGAGCTCCTCCGATGATCAAGATGGCCGACTGAGCTCCCATCAGGGAAGCCAACGCAGCAAGCTTTTCTAGGAGACTGGCAGTGCACCATCTTCCCCTCCGTAGCCAGGAAGCGATGCTCAGAGTGAGGCCCAGAGCTCCCCAAAGTGAACCGAAGCTATTCTCAGTGCCAACAAGGCCCCGAGCTCCTCGGAGGATGAAAACAGCCAAGTTCGTCAGGAAAGCCAGCATGACGAGCTCCTCCAACAGAACCAACAGCTCCTCACAGCTTCTACCAGCTCCAACAGCCTCTCTCAGCTCCCAACAGCCTCCTTCTCCTTCTCCAGTTTTGCCTCTTATGCTGCTGGCAACCGTCCCCAGGTGGGCCTTGCACACCCAGCGCCACGCTTGCTCAGTTCAGCTGGGGGTGGTAAGTCACCACTAGTGGTCAGTCCACTAAACTGGTTTCCAGCTTACGGAGGCACTAACTGGTCTGTGGCTGTATTGCTCCGATTTCTCCTACCTCCGCCCGCAAACATCTCCTCTAGTTCCCGCCTTCCGCTGCAAGGAAGGAGCCTTGTGACTCGGCCGGGACCACCTGGAAACACACGCTGCTCTCCGCACCTGAAGACGCTTCACGCAGTCACACCTGCAGAGTGCCGGGTCCGTGGGTCTGGACGCGGCGTCTTCGGCGGCCTCCCCAGTCCCTGTGCCCACTTACCCAGCCGGCTTCAGAAGCCCGGACTTTGTTTGCTATCATCCTCAAACATATAAGGAGATGGATAACCCGTCTAAGGTGAAATCAGGAAGAGTAAACGGGCAGCGTTTAAAACTCCCGAGGTAAGAGAAAGGAATAGAAGTTGAGCGTATCCAAAGACTTGAGTTTTACCCACAGCGCTCTTTTTTCAGTTTATGAAGATCTAAAGCAAATCTGCAAAGTACCAACAGTCAGGAGTGGCGGGGACGGTGCGCGTGTCGCGCTCTGTTTTCTCCAAGGGACGGCTGGTCTGCGTGGAAGACCCGGGGCGCTGGCGGGACACCTGGCCGGACACCTGCCCCAGCATCTGGCCCGGCACCTGGCCCTCGTCCCCAGGCGCCGGCTGGGAGGCGGGACCGCGGCTCCGCGCGTGCGCAGATCCGCACCGTCCGGCGGCTCCCGC